GTGTCACCACTCAATCTTTCATTCGTGGAACCATAGTAGAGGAAGTAGACTTTGTAGATTTGGCACTACAAGGCCCTAGATGCTGGTGCGTCTACAAGGCACAGCAAGGCTGAATGAGCCTGAGAAATCGCATGGCTTTGGCCCTGCTGCAGCGTGGGAATGGCTCATTGAGTCTGCAGGTATGGAGCTAAGAGTGAGAAATGACTGCAGTCTTTCACAGCTGATCAGCTTTTCTCCTTCACCCTTACTACCTTTTCATAGTCATGCCCCCTTTCCATGTCTTTAAATCCTATTTCCTGTTCACCTCACCTGAACCTTTACCCCCTTACAAACTCAGTCACTCATTCAAAGCCAGTGCAACATATTCACAGCCAACACATTTCAGCCTCAATATATACAAATATTCTGTCTGTGCGTCAGTGGGAGGGTATCTTTTTTTATAACCCCGTCTGGTTGATTGAAAAGATTTTTTTTTTTTTTTACAAGGTGTGAGCTGACCTGGGACCTGATATGGCAGAAAACAGCATGACAGATGGCCCATTTGACAGTGGGAATTTGGGCCTTGGCTGTGGCCAGCTGAGGTTTGGCACCAAAGCATAGAGCTTTTCAGAATTTAAGTATCTCTTCCTTTAATTGCTATATATTCATTCAACTTAATTTACACAGGAAAAAATAGAAATACATTTTTTATTTCTAAGAGGGACCCGTTCCAATAATGTATTAGGTCATATAAAGTTGCATAACATTCACATATTAAATGCAAAGGCTTACATTCAGGAAACATACTCATAAACAAATGAACAGAAATCCAGATAAATATTTTAGAACTTTTTGAATTATTGATTGTGTTTGAATTTTTCCATTTTAATACTTTTAACAACCATCTTCAAACAGCAGTCTAAGTTACAAGTCTGTCATGTTAAATACCTACCTTATGCATCTTAGAGTCTTACCCATGTGTCTTTAAAAGCTAAGCTTAATTAGATTTAAGGAAAGAGATTCTATGAACATTAGTTTTGAAATTTTGCACAAAAAAATCTCTAAATAAAATCATGCAGTGTCTTACTGCAGAGACAGGCACTTTATAGTAGCAAAAGTATGCTAGATATTAAATTTATAAAGTTTTGGATATTAATTTAGCACCTTCTGGCCCACTTACTGGGACAGCTAAACCTGTGAAAATTGGCAGATGCAGTTGCTTGAATGTTCACCAGTTGTAGAATATCTTCCATAAAACGGAATGACATATTTTTAAATTCCGTTAACATCCCTTACTTAAAAAAAAAAAAAACTCTGTGCACTTAATATGATGTAACTATATACCATAAAAGACTTTTAATATGGTATCAAAAATTAGATTGTCCTAATTTATTAATCTCTTCAACCTGTTATTTTTAAACTAGGTTTTTCCTAAGATCTTATAGTTCAGTACTTCAATTTTTGAAATGTATTAATACTGTATAATTTCGATAAGTCTTTTTTTTTTTTATAAGATTGTAAATATTATGGTGTTTGATTCTGTGAACTTGTGAAAAGTTGATGAGTTTTAGAGAAATTTGGCCTCACAAATTTGTGGTTCTTGCCTTTTCATAACAAAAACAGGATAAAACACAGACTAAACACTTGATTTATAGTGATAAGGTGAACTAGGAGATTTCTACCTAGTAATACAACAATGTACACACATCTTTGTTTCCATCTCTCACAGGGCTCCAATCATGAACTAATGTACCATCATCCATCTCTGTGTCTGATGGGGTGTTCAAAGCCACTCCATTGTTTTTCCTGATGGATTATGCCTCCTGTGTGGAGCCAGGCAACTAAAGCCTCATTCTGCAGTTGAGCTGGAGCTCTGCGAGGTTGTCCATGAGGGAGTAAAACATCTATAGTAAAGGAGAGCGAACCATGCAGAGTAAAAGGGAAAGCAATTCACTTGATACAAGGAGAAAAAGTTCTAAAGGTCACAGCACTTACAATGTGTGAAAGTAGATTCAGGTTAAAGTTGATTTTCTGGTGGAAAGTGAACTCTAATAGTGATCAATCACATGTTTTTTTTTGTGTTTTTTAGTTTGCCATATCACCATCCAATCTGTTTTCATATCCGGCAGACCTTATCTCTGCCAGCATCCTGCATAGATAAGAAATGGTTCCCCTACGCACTTCCCAGAGTTGCACAGAGGCCACTTGAAATGTAAATCTGAGCTTTACTTCCCCCATGTGGGTAGCAACATTTTTATGAAAATGACCTGATTTGAATTTATATGTGGGTACATGGGAGCAGAGGCATCTACAAAGGCACATTCCTGTTTAACATAGACTTAACAAGCTGCTGGTGACTCTACAGCATGCCCATCACAGAGACAGAAACAAGCTGTCTGTCAAAAACCCTTAAGCTGTGGGTCTGTCAAGCTTGATCGCATAGTATTCATTTTAGAGCATTCAATCATTAAAAGATAAATGGAAACTGAGTATTTCACTGTTAGAATACATATAAAGCCATAACTGACCAACACTACTTTGCCTTTTCTAATTTTAAAATCATCACCGTACCATAACAACCTATTATAGTGCATTTATTAATTTGCTTGAAACGTATGAATAAAAAGTCTGAAAAGAACAATGTGTATTTGAACTTTGTATGACTCTGTCTTTTTCCAAATCCTTGCTACCAATGTAGGTAAATATGCACAGTGCCACAATAATTTTTTTTTTCAGGTAATTCCTAAAAGTTTGGTTGGTTTTTACGAGATATAAGACTAAGAGGTTTAAACTCCATATTTCAGATGTTTGTTTACTGGATTCCCTATTGAATTTGGGTGTGCATTTTGACCATGAATGCATGTAAAGTGCATTAATCTAAACCATTCAGCTGTGGCCCTAGGTGCACATTTAGAGAACATACAGAATGATCTAAAATGTAGCAGTATTACCCTAAGCCCCATTTTTCTTCTCCATATCTTTTACCAGCTTCTCTCTCTGAGATACCTCCCACTGACACTGAAAAAGAGATGTGGCATTGAAAAACCAAACACTGTAAAATACTGAATTAATAAGTAAAATGAAAATTGAAATAATAAACACTCTGTATGCAAAAAAAAACTCAAAACATTGTCAGTGAAAATTTGTACATTGTCAGTTGCCAGCTTGTGGTGACATCAGAACTATGCAGTAACACTGAAAACACATCTCTGAAAAAAAAAAACGATGGTAAAGTTTATTGGTTTAAATTCCATTTTGTGTTATTCTACTTGTTTTTGGTTCTATTTTTTGAGTTCTTATGTATTTCTTGTTCACCCTCTGCTACCCTCTTGTGTCAGTCTCCTTCTCCTAGTGCCCTTCTAGTAGCCTGACGTAGTCCGACTCAATTCTAGTCAGAATATGAGTCTGATACTGCTCCATAGAGCTGGGATTATGGGGCGTGTTTCGAACGAACCAGGAAAAAAAATGCCTCTGCACTCAATTGGATAGATCTACAACCAATAAGAGCAACGGAGTGCGTGACGTATGTTAAGCGAGGCATAGTTGTTGTCCACAAAAATCAAAGCGTGCAGTTGCACGCCTAGAATAAGAAGATGAGCCTTGATCGCGTTTCTCTGTTCCTCTTTTAAAATTAATTTGCTGTCGATATCTTCTAGAACAGACCTAATAGCAGAATCTACTCACCCAAACTCTCCAGCGGCAGCCATTATTGTTGTCACCCAAGCGCGCTTTGGTCACGTGGTTGATAACGTTACTCTTGATCATCTGTCCATCATAGTATAAAGCCCGCCCTGACAATTTGATTGGATCGCCTGACAGTGGGCTATAATACTCGCGCTACTATGGAGCAGAGCCAGACCGAACTTCCCTGAACTCAAACCTTGTGGGCGGGACTAAGTTCGGACTGGCACCCAGGCTACCCTTCTAGATTCCTCTGTCCACACCTGCTCCCAATCTGCTGATTAGCCTGGTCTCGGTTCAGTCACCCATTATACACCTGTTCAGTGACTGCTTGCTGGTTCCTCATTGTTTCTTGGCTCCTTGTGTGTGTTTTTTTTCTGATTTCCCTGGGTATTTCGGTAATACTGTATTTTTTAAATTTTTGGATTTTACCTTCAGTTGCACCCTTTTTGTTATTAGATCTGCTAGAAACCCCATTCAGCTTGAGTCTCTGCATTTGATTCCTCTTCAAACCTTCACTCAACCTGACAAAAGCATTGCCATAGCAACATGCCAACATCACCATGCAGGGCTGCCAATTTTTCACCAAACCTTGGGTTGAGATTTTGAAATAGTTTGGACAGGAAACCCTGTCAGGATTTTATCAAAAGGCTATAAGGATAGGTGCAGCTAAATGTTGGAGGTTTTCGGAGGATTTAACTGAAAGAAAGTGTCAGAATGTGGGATTTTTATAGAACAGTAAATGCGACTGAGTAACAATAAGTGATCTATGTGGAACATTTTTCTTACAATATCCATTATTTTCTATATTTTGGTGATTTTTAGTAACAAAGTATGGGCCCTACTGAAATACTTCCATCTTAAATATAATGTAAACTAAGAATTTCACAACTTCTATTATTATCTGCAGTTTAAGTAAAATAAACAATGGGAAAATAAGTTATCACTGGATTACTGGCACTAATACAGGAACCAATGCAATCGAATCCCATGCAAACTACACTCCGTATGAATATTTGCTAAGTTTTACTTACACTTGACAAAAAAGCTAAACAATTCAGACCTTCTAGGCTTTCTTTATTAAACTGACACACACTCCTGAGGCGTCACACAGCTGTATCCATGGCACTGACCTTTTACTAGATTAAAAGTGGAATGGCTCTCAGTATGTCACAATAAAAGTCCATTTTAAAAACTCTCCGTCAGGCAACTTGTTGATCCATAGCTGCGTGGTTTATAGTTATTTTCCCTCCACCTGCAGGACATCTGCGTCGCTGCCACGTCTCTCCTCCCCTGGACGCGCAAAGTGGGGGCGCAGCGCTCGGCTCACTAAAAGCGCTGCTCCTGAGCTGCGCAGCATTGTGGACACCACCAGCAGCAGCAGCTCATCTGGCTGTCTTTCCCTTTGCATCAGCAGCCATTACAGCTGACACATAAAACTTTTTTTTTGCGTTTTCAAGCTGCAAGTGTTTTTTTTTGTGTGTGTTGTTTTTACCTCTCCGTTACAGAGTGGAGGCATTCCTTGCGTGACAGTGGGTGTCCGATTACCAACCGTGTGCCGCGCGGCTGGGACCCGTCAAGGAGCGCTCCCTGCAGAGACAGAGGACTGTTTTATTCTTATTATTTCTAACGTGATCGACACTCTTAAAGACACACAAGCTCTAAGGATACTTCATCTCCAGCCTGTCTGTATTCTATGTTACCTCACCACTCTTCTCTCCGGGACAAGACACGCAGCTCAGCTCAATACTAGATGAACGGGAGTTGGACACTTTACTCGGTAAGAGACAAAATCAATGTTATCGTGCTGTAATACTTATTCTGCTTTTTTTTAATTATTATTTTTATTTTATTTTTTAATATTGCGATAAATGTAAAACATTTTCTAATGGAGATATGCAACACATTTCCAGCCAAAACATATCTAATGCCGTTCTCTTTCTTATCACTAATGGATATTTGGAGTTATTTCAGATGTATTGATTACATTCAGATGTATTGATTACATGAAGGTACCAGCTTAAATCACCAACAACTAAAATATTCAGTTTAAAAAGTTTTCCCCCCCCCATGCCATACATTTACTGGCCACTTGGTGGCGCTGACAGAGTGCTGTCGTCAGTATTAAACCCCCTAACATCTTAATTCATAAATTGGAAGTCAATGGCACTGGTATGTGAAGTCAACTTAGTTTGATTTTATTTACATGGCACCATATTATAAGGAATGTGATCTGCAGGCATTTCACAGGACAAACGGGTCCAAACACTGCTGCATTAATTTCAAATTCAGTTTAAAACCTTCCAGGTAATTCATATATGTAATCCAACAATATTGCTACATTTCGATTTTTTCTGACTTTCTATCTTTGACTTTTCAACAGACCTTTTTCCAAGCAAGCGTCAAAGTATAGTTTAACCTTATTGTCTTTTCCCTTAATGTTTCTGTAAAGCCATGAAACTTAATAAGTGGCTTAAAAGATGTATTTAAATAATAATAAAAAAAAAAAACAATCACAATAAATGATACAGAAATAAAAATAAAAGCTGTTTCTTTTAGTGTCAAGTTTCTATCTTTTAATAATTTTTACATACATTTATTTAGGCCATTCGCTTTTGTGTGCTTTGAGGATCTTTCAGTGTTTAAAACCGCTGTTATTTAGCCATAAAATACTGCTAAAATAAAGATACAATCTATTGTTTGTAGCTATATATTTTGGTCTGTTTTTGCTGTCTAAAACCTACATTAACTTTATCAGTTAACTAAAAATATCAAATTAGTCGGTTTTGCTCTATGGAATATACATTAAATCATAATTTGATAAAATAAACCCCATTTAATTGCTTTGTGTAGGTTTAAGAGCATATAGACAAAACTGAATTTATAGAAGAATATTAGTGCAAAGGAAATCCATGTGTTTTTTATACATTTGCAATAAATAGATTTCCACATGCCTAAAAGTTGTCAGATTCTAATGTTTCAGCAAGGAATCGGCCATAAAAGCGTTAAATTGTGGTTCTTTAAACTATTAAAAGTAGATCTTCAGAACTAAAGGATTATTCCAGCATTTCTTAGTGTGAGGAATGTGAAATGCTGTTTTTAAAAGCCTTGATGATGCAGGCTTCAAAAACCCTCTGAGGGGATCAGCAAGGGTATGTTAAATTTGGAGAGATAATGCATGGGAATTACATCCATAGCTGCCCCATGGCTTTGTCCCTACAGCTGTGCTCATGCTCAACTTTTTAAACTGAATAAATATAACAATCTACCTTTGTATTTATACTCTATTATTATACTAAATTATTTTTTTTTAGATCTCAGACACCCACTTTGTATTGATTCATCAGACAAAATAAAGTATAGAGCCCTCAGCAGGCTTCCTTTGCCTATTGAGTATTCTTTTGTGGCCGTTTTAATCATGGTATTAAGTTTGATAGGATGAACATTTTAATCTGATCTTAAAGGCTCAGGCCCATCAGTGTTTATCCTTGATCCCCTCTGTCAAATTGTGCTCAACAATAGAAAGTGAACCATGTCTGGAACTACTTCACTTCTTCTTACAACCCCCCCAAAATTCAACTAATAGGTAAATTCTGTGGTCCAGATTGGCCCCCATCACATTGTGTAGGGGTGTGTGTGTGTGTTTGTGCATAGTTGTTTGTCTGATGTTATCCTGTCTTGACCTGTAATGCACTGGTAGCCTGTGCAAGATGTACCCCCACTTGTGCCCAGTAATCGTTACAGATAGACAGACACCCTCCTGCCCACCTCCACTACCCATATGGGATAAGCGGATTTAGACAAAGGGTAGTCGGATGAATGGATGTCTGAAAGGTAACCATATTTTTATTTAGTGTCAGGCCAGAACAAAGACTGAAAATTGTTATTAGTAAATCAAATGTTCTATTTATTTTGGAAATGGTTTTTAAAATCAGGATCTTTTTTCCACCATTGCACATTTTGGGCTTTCATAGTTAAAGGTGACATCGGTTCATCACTTTTTGTTCTTAGATGTGTGTGCTTATAGGTGACATACTATAAAATTATTTTCTATAAAACTGAGTAAATGGGAACTGTGAAGTGATTTTTAAAATATTTCACAAGCTTAAAGTTGTATAAAGCTAGCAAACCAATTAGTATCAATATAGTAATCCATTGATTAGATTATGGCACATTTATGAACAGTAAAAGTTACCTTACTGTACAGCCTGCTAAGCGGCTGCATATTCCTTTGTTTAGCAAAGAATATTGGTTGACTAACAGCAGTGATATTTGCATTGTGATGACAGTTTGCCTTAGCACTGACACCAGCAAAAACACAGCAATTAGCCTTAGCCAGCGCAAACTCTGTGATGAAAGTGACCCCAGTGGTTTCAGCAGCCCACTGTGTAGCTATGGTAACCCAAAGAAAGACAAGCCAATTGTTGTTGACCTTTGTGATCCCCCATCTCAACGGGGGTCCGAGCCCTCTGAGAGTGAGAGTAAAAGGCATAATCATGCACATGTAAACTAAACAGTCATTACCCTATGGCCCCAGAGCGCTTTTCTTTCAGAGCCTTTTGGTTACTTATTTATCTGACAACAACGAGGTGGAGTTTTAGGATCGCTGGTGACTGTGCATGCTTGCCTTTTCAAAGGATCTGTCTTTATTGGCTGAGAAATGCATGAAGAACTGATTTCAATGGGTTTCTCACAATGACTGATGTATTGTTCTTGTACAAGTAAACTTAGAGACTTAAACAATTGTTGAAGTGGCTTACTGTTGTTTTCTGCTGGTTTATGGCCCCTCCTTGCCAAAGGGTATTTGTACATCACAGCCACTTTGTCATCATCTAATCTCCCCCTTGTTTCTACTGACACTTTTGCTTTCAGGGCTGTGTGGACTCTGTATGTAATAAAGTTCCACAAAATGCCTTGCAAAACTTAAAAAAAATATCCTGCACCATATTGGCTATCTGACTAATGTATTTGATAGGATTTTTGCCTGATAGAGCAACAGAAAGTAACAACAATCTGATAAAATGCAAAGTATGAAATGCATTTTTATTCAGCCTCCTAAGTCAGTACTTTGTAGAAAAAATTTTTGAAGCTCAAAAAGACACAGATGGAGAGCAATCATACATATTAGTTTTTTTAAATCTTACCACAGATTCTGCAATCGATTTACGTATAAGGATTTAGGCTAGGCCATTCTAACACATGAAAACGCTTTGATTTAACCGTCCCATTATAGCCCTGTCTATATGTTTACTACAGTTTTATTCTGCCTGTCTCTGCTCCACTCTTTACCCGCAATTATTTCAGTCCTAATTAGCAAAGGAGGTGTCTGCCTCACCTAGCTGAAAAACCCAGAGGTGCCTTTAGAAGCATGCACAGACCCTGCAATTAAAACCAGCTGAAAATACAAATTCAGACTAAACAGTTGGAAGAGGAGTGTCAAACAACAGTTTTAACTGCTTCGCTATTTTTTTTGCATACAGATATTTTCTCAATTTCTTTTTCTTCAACAACAGTTGAGTCCATTATTGCAAATAAAAGCTATGTTTTACTTAATATGGTACATTTAAGTACACTTGTGCATATTATGGATAACTGTACTTATACATATTTATACATTTAGCAAGGCCTTCAAGAAAATACATTATCACAGTATGCAGCATAAAACATATTGGGCAATATCAAAGTTTAAACAGCTCACATGCTCACACTGACCCTTATTCTGCTGGACGTTTCTTTCTGTTAAAAGGGATTTTTCCTCTCCACTGTCGCTACAAGCATGCTTAGTGTGAGGGATTGCCAGAGTCAATGCAATCAGGCAGTTTTCTGTGGATATAAAACTTTGAACCAAATGACTGTATGATCTGGTAGAATTGTCTCTGTAAAGTGCCTTGAGATGACATGTGTTATGAATTGGCACTATATAAATAACCTAAATTCAATAAATATTTGGATACTATGGATATTTTGCTTGTTTAGTATCTTGTTGATATAGTATGGTCTGTGTAGATTGAAATAATCTGGCTCTGGTGTATGGCAAAAAATAAAACCAGGCTGATTATTTTTTTATTTCATATTTTGTGGATTGTGCACCTTGAGTTGTACAGTGGAAGGCAGTGTAAACACTCTTATTGATTATAATGGGTGCATACTTAATACGGAGTTTGTACTAGAGATGGAGGCAGTATAAGTTACTGTTTGTCTTTTGCAGCCCCTAAAAGGCTCTCTTCTAAGATGGCTTTATACTTATGTCCCTTTTTCATCTACCTTCCTTATTGCCGCTTGATACTGCTGCCACTGGGATAATAAAAAAATATGGACATCAGGTCATTGTTAATAGAAAATACTTTTGGTACAATTCTATGAACTCAGATCCAGGACCGCTGAGGGATGTAGGCTGAGGAAAGGATTTAGCCTCTCAAGGTAAAGGTGATGTTTAAATGGGGTTAGAGTATTACCATATTTATTTGTGACTATACAATGACAAAATGTGAAAAGGTCACTGGTATTTAGCTTTGTATTTAGCACATCTTGTGAGTTTGGATACCTTCCTGATCTTTTTTTCCCACATAAAGAAGAAAGTTGCCACTGTGTCAGCAAACATTTTTCACCTCCTTTCATTTCTTCTATTGTCTGTCATCTAGAGAGATGGTGTGGTGTTTCTATGGCAACTCTTAAGATTTCCCACAGTGAGTTCGAGAGCCCGTCCGTCACAAAGCAAATGAAAGTTTGTCATTCACTACTCATCTAAGTGCCGCAATGTTTCCTTAAGAGGCGGAGAGG